ACTGGGCATACTTTTGATCACCTGGTTGGTGGCATGAAGGAGAGTACGGGTTGTACATTTCATCACCTGGTTGGTGGCATGAATGGCTAGTTACCAAATGATATTAGAGCACGGGTTGTACATTTCATCACCTGGTTGGTGGCATTAGCGGCAGGTTGCCGAATAATTGTGGAGTACTGGGCGTACTTTTGATCACCTGGTTGGTGGTAATAGCGGCGGGTTGCCGAATAATTGTGGAGTACTGGGCGTACTTTTGGTTACCTAGTTGGAGCTATTTTGGGGTTATGAGCCTTCGCTCTCCACACAACATTCGAGCCCATTTATTTTGGGCTTTTTTTTTGTTTACCCTCTGATGGGGTTTATACAGATATCTCCGAAATATATGAAAAATAATTTACATCATTTTAAAATAAATCCGACTTTCTGATGGGGTTTATACAGATGCCATCATTACCGTAATTATGTCTGATTCTTTTTATCTTCTTTTGCTTTCTGCTTTCTGCTTTCTGCTTTGGATATGTCGCTTGACGACATGATTAAGGGCAATATTCTTTCTCTAAAATGATAGCTATTTGGACAGCTTTTTCGACACCACCCCTTTGCTTTTCTCTGGCTTTCTCAAAGAATGAGAATATGCATGATAGTGGCCATCTTCGTCGACAAAAGCAAAAGTATAATCTTTCTCTTTTAGCTTTTACTTTTACCTTGCAGAGTGCAGATAGCACTCAAGTTCTCTGTTTCCCCATGCACCTTTGTTGCTTCTGTAGATGCTAGCTAAGCCTGACTTCGAATCTCTCCCACCGAACGCTGACCACCACCAAAGCATCCCACAACCATCTCTCCTTTCTGCCCTATTCTTCTTCCTCTCCACTCTTTGACGAAATGGCAGCAGACGGAGCAGCAGCTGCAGGAGCGTCATCCCCCCGATCACCGTTAAGCTGCATATACGAACAGAGAGAAGAAACCATGGTCTCTCTAAAACATGGTCAGAAGCAAAAGAAAAGACTCGCAAGGTTTCTGAAGCCATGTGCCATCGGATCTACCATCGCAGTGGGTCCCTCGAAAATTCCACTGCTCTGTGAGGTCTTTCCTCACGACCTCCAGCAATGGCCGTCGAATGAGTTCTTCAAAAGGTGGAAGATTCCCCAGGGAAAGTCGGATGAATGGGTCGATAGGTTGGCTAATAAGTACTGCTCCACCTGGAACCAGTCTGGAATTTATGATGCAATTTTGAGGTAACGGTCTGGACTTGGTGGCACCGAAGCGCCTGAGTGAAATCGGGCAAACTGACCGTGTGGTGGATGACTCAGTTCGTACCGTAATCATTGGAGTTTAACCCACCTACTATGCAGATGACCAGCAAGTTCTCGCTGCACGCACCGGCGATCGCGTTCAGCGCACTGAGCCCGCCGATGGTGAACGTAACGACGCACGCTCCAACCCCCCTGGCGCACGCATAGCCGTCAGCTGCATAACCCGTTGCAACAGCCGATGAGGTTAAGGCCGGGCTCGGCGATCAGGTGGTCGAGAAGAGCTATGCGTTTGGATCCATCTAACGGAGCCTCTGAGACTCGACTGTTGCCCAAGACGGGAACGGAGCTTGGAAAGCGCGGTGACGCTCCTAAAGAAACATCATCGATGACTGCACCCATCGATCACCTGTCTCTCTCTTGCTGTACTAATTTAATTTTGGAGTTGCGCTTGAAAATTCAAAATGGCTGAAAAAAGGAAAGTACGTAGAGACTAGGGACGGAGTGAGTCAAAACTCAAAAGTTAGAGAAATAGTAGTGGAATCTGCAAAAAGAGAAAGTTGACACAGCTTTTTGGGGTTTTGGGTTGTGCAGATTCACGGCGGAGGTGAAAAATTGAAAGAGAACCGACATAGCTTTTCGTGTCGATTTCCATAGACGGCGCCAAATGTTGATGCACAAAATCGGAGGTCTGGGTACAATGTAAATCCGACCATGAATCTGCAAGTAATGTAAATAACACAAGATGTATCGTGGTTCACCCCAAGATTTGGACTACGTCCACACTGATTGTATTGTATTTATCTGAGAGGTGAGGGAGAGAACCTCTGTAATGAGAGGAGATGTGAGAGGGGTGAGAAGGCTCCAGAAATGGCCTCCCCTGATTGTGAGGGTGAGGGGTCCTTTTATAGAATAAGGACTCCTCACTTATTACATATTTGCCTCTTCCTTTATCACATAATTACATTTAAGTCCCCTGAGTATTTGTACGAGCTCTAAATACGGAGGCCCTAAATATGGTATAAACAAATATAAAATCTACTCATCAATACTAAAGGGTACCTCATCAAGAACAATCATCTCTACACATGCTTCCAAGCAATCAAATTAGTTAAACTCCCTATTAACCAAAGTTTTACCCCCTTTCTTATCCTTATAAAGAAGTTTTTTTTTTTTTTTTTTTTCCTCAAGTTGACCTGATAAAATTTACATTGTCAATTAAGATTTTTTCTCATTCCGGATATACCATTAATGCTTGAATCGTTTGTATGCTCCAGGCAATACACACATTTTGCCCTAAGTCTTACATGTAGAACCATTACCAGTTTATCAATCCATCTTTTACAACATTCCCTTCTCTATCCTTGAGACTTACTAGGGTCTTAACTTGATAAGGCCTAATGTGCTCCCAAGTCTTACTACGTTTACCTTGTAGGAGTTGGGAAACACTTACCTCCTCTTGATCGCCTTCACTTTCGGTCTCTCTTTTGCTTCCCCCCGATTCATATTCCAAATCAATTGCATCCTCTACAGAATCTACATAATCCGAAGCCTGCATCCAATCAATACAAAAATATCAATTACGATTACAATTACAAGTCAATCTAGCATACACAATAACATTCATAGAACCACTGAATCTGTTCCACAAATTATCCTATATTCACACGACTTGATTAAAGCATACATAGACTACTTCTCCTATATTCACACAACTTGATTAAAACATTGAAACAGATTATCTATTAAAATTGTGCAGATTAAGCAAGCTACTTCTCCTATGTTCACACAACCTGATTAAAACATTCAAACATATTATCTATTAAAATTGTGCATATTTAGTGCAGACTACTTGTTTCTCCTATAAGCAACGCAGCCACTTGGACAAATGGTTGTATAATAAGTTCGTGATGGTGTTCAAGTACCAGAGTCATATATAGTTCAGGCATGCAGAAGAGTTAGTGTTCTAGTGTGTTTAAAACCAAACAATGATGGTGGTTAAATGCTGATCACATTTCGAATGCATAGACAATCATTCAATTTGACCTATTTTATATATATATATATATGTATGTATGTGTGTGTGTGGGTGTGTGTGTGTGTATGTATGTATATAGCTATAAACTACTACTAGATTCAGTTAGCTTCAAAACTATATATATTATATATATTGTACACTACATATCAAATTCACAATGCTTGACATCTATGGAGTCCCCAACACATACAATGGCGAATGCATTCAACCATCAAAGAAACACTTCAAATGCTTCTTAGAAAAGCACTTGGAAGAGAACCACCTAGTATTTTTAAGTTTTACTATCAAATGCTCTCATAAATGCTATTTGATTGTCAGAATAGCCATTCCAAAAGCAATCTCAAACATGCCCGTAATCTACCCCCAAGAACAAATTAGAGCAGCATTTCCTTTATTTGTTTCCCTAATCTAAATTAATTTTGAGGAAGCATTATTATTTCTCAGATAAATTTTTGTTGGAAATATATGGGAATCTAATTCTCAAGCAAAAGTAGAGGACAAGGAAAAGGATACAAAGGATAATATTATGGAATTAAAACAATTCAACAACAACAATAACAAATTCATAATTAATCATATTTTGACAACAACAATAACAATTCAACAACAATAATAACAAATTCATAATTTCAGATAAACCCCCAATTCCAATCCCAATTTGAATCTAAAAATTAAAACCCTAATTTTATAAAATGCAACTAATATAGATTAACTACATCAAAACTACAAAATTCAACGACAAACTCAAAAGCCTCAGCATAATCTTACAATTTCAGAGAAACCCCCAATTCCAATCCCAATTTGAATCTAAAAATTAAAACCCTAGATTTATAAAATGCAAGTAATAGAGATTAACTACATCAAAACTACAAAATCCAACAACAAACTCAAAAGCCTCAGCATAATCTTACAATTTTAGAGAAACCCCCAATTCCAATCTCAATTTGAATCTAAAAATTAAAACCCTGATTTTATAAAATGCAAACAAATTCAAGAGATTGACTTACCATGAGAGAAGACAATGTCACGATGGTTGTGGTGGAGATGAGACCGTGAGATAGATTGGAGAGGATGAGTGGTGGACGGCGGGGTGGCGATTGAGAGAGAGACCGAGGGACGGAGTGAGAAAAGTGAGAGAGATCGAACTATGTCATTGACGAGTGGTAACTAAATTTCTTACCATAGGGATCCACTCTAGTGTGACCAAGTCCTTGTGAACTCGGATAAGCACCAATAAAAACAATGAAAAACTAACAAAAAGTCCAAAAAAAACTTTAGTTTTAAAGAAAAATGACAAATAAAGGTGTAGTGAATAGTACCAAGAAAAGATAAAAATGTGGTTTTTCATTAAAAGTAAACAGTACCGAGAGTATTTCGTTAAAACTCCCTAAAAACAAGCCACGTGGATGACAATTTTAATTGAAAAACTCATTCAGTACCAAACAGAGAACCCAAAACGAACCGATCTTGTACCCATATCGAATGAACCAAAAAAAAGAACCGAACCGAACCGATTCTTGGTATTTTTTGCCCAGGCCTAATGTCAACTATTTATGTCAAAATATTGCAACTTTGTGCTACTAGAGCCACATTAATAAGCCCTCACAACGTTCATTTTTGGCGCCAAACAGGCCCAAACAACCCAAAGCCCAAAACTCTAGCTAACAGGAGATTTATCCCGGCCCAGTTTCCCCCCAAAACCCCAAAGCCCGATTGCCGAAACCCCCGAAGTTCTGCAACTCAAGCAAAAATGGTGGTGGTGCTGCTGCTTCCGCCTCCTTGAATGAAGAAGAAAGCTCGGAACTTGCTCAAAACCATCGCCTCCTTCTTCACCAAGCACCACATAGCCATGGACGATTTACCAGAGCGCTACTCTTACAACCCAACTCTCCGCTGGAACGCCGACCTCGAAAGCTACTTCTCCAAGGCATACGGACCCCACCATTTCTCCTGCATCTCCCAAGCCCTATCGTACCTCTCTCTCTCTATCTCTCTCTCTCTCTCTCTCTCTCTCTCTCTCTCTCTCTCTACAATTGCAATGGTGCATTTCATTTTTCTTATATTTTCTGTCTTTTTTGTTTTTTGGGTTTGCTCAGGCGGCCGTCTTGCTACTCCTGTATACGCGTGAACACGCTGAAGTCGACGCCGGATGCCGCCATTGAGAAGCTGAGGGCGGTTCTGAAAGAAAAGGGAGCTGACATTTCCAAGTGTGACGTGGAAGGGATGGACTATGTGCTGTTTGTGAGGGGTTCGGGTCCTCACGCCATTGATTATGGCTGTGCTGCAGATGGGAAGCTTCCGAAAGAGGTTCTTGTGAGCCGGAAATGCGCCGAGGCAGTTCTTCGAGGTGCCCAGGTTAGCGTTTTTTCGGTTTCTTTTGCTTTGAATTTGGTTTGCTTATTCAGTTTTTGCTGAAAGAGGATGTTTTTGGGGGTTTTTGATATGTAGGTGTATGTTCCTGGTGTATTGGGTTGCACTGCTCATGTCGAGAAAGGGGATGTTGTGGCGGTTTCAGTGGCAGTTGAGCAGCCTGGTGCCGATGGTGGATGGGTCGTTGGGATCACCCGAGGGACTGTGCTGCAAGGTTCAGAGACAGGTAAATAGTGTATTTGTTCATGTATGTGGGATTGAAGAATAGGTTACGAAGGTTGTGAGTTTGCTTAAGTGACTGTGGGTTAAGAGATGTTTTTTTTAAAATGATGTTTTAGATCCTTATCATATTGAACGAAGGGGGCTGTATATCGGCCAAGGAAGAGCAATGCTGTCAAGGGCCGGGATTTTCCGTGTTATGGAAGGGCTTGCTGTGGATATGAGTGACAGAGTATTTAATCTCCCTTCGTTACATGGTATGGTTCATACGAGAGTAGAAGCCTAGCTCTCTGCTAATGTATTTCATGCCGTCTAAAGCTGTTGCATGGCTCTTCTTCTAGTATATCAAGTGTTTCAATGAGCTTTAATTCATGCTTTTTGCTTCATTTTTTGTTTCAAATAGTATTGCATTGATAATTTAGAATAGATTTTTACTTTATAGATTGAAGGATGTTCTCCTTAGTAGTTGACATGGGTCGTTAATGAGAGAACTTTGAGTTTTCTTTTATCTATAGTCTGTCCTTTTGTTTTTTACCTAATTGATGAGTAGTTGCTTGTTCTTTCTGATATGGTGTGTATTTTTGGTTTTTCATTCGGCTATAACTCCAATGTCTTTTTTCGTGGCTTCCAGACGTGCTTGAGGGGGAAATATTTCTTCAAAATCTGCCAAGCATTGTTGCTGCTCACGCACTAGGTACCTATCACATTGTTTTGATTAACTAAAGCAATCTACATACGGTACTGTTTCCTTGGTTCTTTAGGATTTTGTCACAGTGATCCAAAACCACAATAACTACATAATCTTTTAGGTTTCTGCACAAAGTAGTGATCTGTGTCATGGTTTTCCTTTATTTGTATTTATATGATGTATTATATTTGTGATGGATGCTTACTTCCATAGGAATTAGCTGGCTGTTGCTTTACTGCTATCATTTTTGGAATATTTAATGAAATTTTTTAACCGTGTGATTTTGTTATTTCTCTTGTGCTTCTTAGATCCTCAAAAAGGTGAGCGCATATTAGACATGTGTGCTGCACCGGGAGGGAAAACAACTGCAATTGCACTTCTTATGAAGGATGAAGGAGAAATTGTTGCCGCTGATAGATCTCACAATAAGGTAAATTTCCTAACCCGAGATGTGGTAGAAGAAACAGTGTCTCCCTTTGCCTTGGTTTATGATTCCTGTATCCTATTTAAGTCATGTTATGGATTTTAGTTCTTTATATAAGGTCTGTCCAACAGATTTGCTGTGGTTCTCATGGGTGGTTAGATTCTGGGTTCCTTGTTTAAATCAAATTGTGGAAAGATAATTTAATTCCACTGATCTTGGAATTTTAATGTCCCATAATGAATATTCCCCCTTCTTGGTTTTTTAGCCTTAAGGATTCCGGTTTCTTGTGCTACTTACACCCACAATACTTTTGCAGGTGCAGGGTATTCACAAATTGGCTGCTGAAATGGGCCTGAGTTGTATAACCCCATATAAACTAGATGCTCTAAAATCTGTTTGTACAACAAACGAGTCCGATGATTTTTCTAATCACTCTTGCATTAAGGAAAATCATGTTGGAAACGTTCAAGGTTCTGACTTGATAAAGTCAGAATTGGAGAAGTCTAAATTGATTACTTTCGAAAGGTTGAATGCTGAGATGGATTTCAAGAAAAGTGGTAGGTAAACTTTCCTCATATGTGTACATGAGAACAATTTTCATGGTTCTGCACTGGCTTCTGGTTCTGATAGTTGGGAACAAGAACTTGTTGGAATCAGCATATACGTTCATAATGTTTTTAATTTGTGAACAAGGTCATTAAATATACTTGCAATAATTTGTGACCTTGTGGATTCTAACATATCTTCTACATGTAATTGTTCTTTTTCATACTGATGCAACAGTTGTTGTCATTTTGATTTTATTATGTGCATGGCAAAGGCTTCTTTCGAGTTGAATCTAATCAAATCAATGTTTTAGTTAGCAATGAAAAGGTGAATGAGACAACATACACTAGCAAAGCTGCCATCAGGAAGGAAATGCGAATAAAACGGAATGGTCCAGGAAGAAATCAGAGCGTGGGTGGTAGGGTTGAGAAGTCAAAGGGATTTGCTCCCAAGAGCTTTGATCGAGTTCTTCTTGATGCACCCTGCTCTGCCCTTGGTTTAAGACCTCGACTATTTGCTGGAGAGGTACCATAATCCTATCAAATAGTGTTCTACTTTTAATACATGATTACAGTAGTAGTTTTTTTGTTTGTTCATTGTTCTGAGTACTTTTAATGCCTTGTGTTGTTGATGTCTTATGCGCGGATGTATCTACAAGATGTTTTGTTTAAAATTAGGTTCATTAACATTTTTAAGTTTTGATTTAGTTAGTTGCTTATTCCAGGAAACAATTGAATCCATGAGAAAGCATGCGACATATCAAAGAAGAATGCTTGATCAGGCTGTTCAGTTGGTTCGCCCGGGTGGAGTTCTTGTGTATTCAACGTTAGTAGATATGCCTCCTCTTGTTCATAGTGTTACTGAGCATTACATGATAAGTATTCAAGTATGCAAGGTTTCTTGACTTCGATCATAAGTTACATTATTGGTTCATTTTCGAGAAAAAGATGGTTACATCACTGGTGCCATCTTTTTAAACTGTATCACCTCCAGATGTACCATAAATCCCGGAGAGAAACTAAATTCTTGTACAGGCATCGTCCTACCATTGAACTGAACTTTCTACGTTGTTCTCACCTCCAGATGTACCATAAATCCCGGAGAGAATGAAGCTGTTGTTCGATATGCTTTGGATACATATAAATTCCTCTCCTTGGCACCGCAGGTTTGGTTCAAATAGTTTGTTGGAGGTCTATGCAATTTAGTTTGTTGAATTTCTCAAATTTTCCTTAACAATGAGGAATTGACTATATCTCAGCCAGCTAATTTTTCATTTCCTATTTACTTTGATTTTCAGCACCCAAGGATTGGAGGACCTGGTCTTGTTGGCCGTTTTGAATTTCCCGATGGATATACTGAGTGAGTTCATTTCTCAGTCCTGTGTAATTGTTTAAACTCCTTCCCAAACCCTAACTAACCAGTTGATCTGATTGACCTCACAGGGAGTGGCTGAGACCCGGGGAGGAAGAACTCGTTCAGAGGTTTGATCCATCGTCCTCGCTTGATACAATAGGGTTTTTCATAGCCAAGTTTTCTGTTGGATCAAACAAGGCTGACTTACAAAACTCCGCATCTTGACAAGATCAGAACTTCAGCGTACGCATACCACAACAAATAATCTCATCTCGAATTCAAAGTTCACCCGCACACAAATACCACAAGTAGTCTTAACTCGAACTCAGAATTCACCTGATAAGATTTGTTTCCAGCCCGAATACTCAAGCAGGGGTCGTGATTAACAAGTTGTATATTTTCATACACTAGAGAAGAAGACCGACGAATCACAACTATGCTTTAAATGTTGTTTCTTCATCCCACAGGCAGTAAGAAAATATTTGTATGAGGTATCCACGGAAATATTGATGAATATTTACATACCAATATCTTTGATAGTTCATAGAAATGATGAAAAAGTGCTCAAAATCTTGGAAATTTGGCGTGAAAGACATGCTACTTGACCAAATTAAATATATTTTTGCACACAATATTCATACGTATCTATTGAATTCACTGTTGATTCCTTATTAGGATTTACCCAATTAATCGGTGCATAACCTTGATTTAGATAAAGAGCACCATAGTGCATACTCATAGGTGCATAATCTTTATTATAACTCTGTTCGGTTACTAAACTCATGCAGTCGAAACTAATAGATATCCTCATTGGATGGATTCCCCGAATTTATACGGTTTTGATTTTTTTTCTTATTTCATACAACGATACAAGTCAGACAACAAGCTAGTCAAATTATGTATTGAACCTGCGATTTTATGGGTGTCGAAAAACCTTTAAACTTGTGACTTACTAAGCATAGATAATAGACTTGTAGACCGTAGTGCTAATAGAGTTATTTTTTCTTGGTGAGCAACTGATCACTGTTGTTTGGGTATAGTATGATGTTGTCCTCGTCATCCTCTTTGTTAAACTTAAACCCCAAGCCTCTCCAACTTTCTTTCTCTCTCCTTCCACTGATCCCCAAACCAAAGTCCTCCTCAAAGCTCACAAGCAAATGTTTGCCTCAACTCCATAGGAGCCACCAACCTCAAACCGATGAACAAAATTAAAGTAAAAACGTTGGATTGGGGTCTTGAGCTTACGGAAAAACTCTTGAAAATCATAAGCATAACACTAAACTTTTATGTGTGAAAAAATGTCAAGATGGGCATGGGACCATCCTGGTCTCTTCATGGCTCCGCCTCTATCTAGAATCATGAGCGGAGCCACTAAGGGACCATATATAACAGCGTTGTCAATCCAAACTCTTTTTTGTTTTAGGCCAGATCTCATTTTTCTCTTCATCCCTCGTATTGTGGTTATATGCACTTCCCCTCCTTATTCTATCAACGTTTCTTTAGTTTTAACTTATATTTAAAAGCATTTCTTGCTTAGTCTTTACCTCATATTCAAGTTTCTCGGTTTGTACAATGTTTTTATTTCTCTCTGTTGAATTTAGGGTCTTTCTTTTTTTATGGATATTACTCCAATCTCTCATATTTTGAGTTCAAATTATCTATATATGTGAGATCCCCCCCCCCCCAACCCCAAAAACCCAACATAAAATCCACTGTCTATATCTATATAAAAGGAAAAGTAATGAAAATGGCATAAAAACTTTGAGTTTTAACGATAAAAACAAAATAAAGGGTAAAGTGAATAATACCAGGATTAACTTTTTAGTGTAAAAATGTGGTTTTTCGTTAAAAATACCGGAAGCTTTTTGTTAAAGTGAACAGTATCGGGAGCTTTTCGTTAAAGTTCCCATATATAAAACCCAACATAAAATCCACTGTCTTTTGTTCTTCCCAGTTCTCACCCCTTCAAATTCTCGGTACCAAACACCATTGTCGTGGATATTCACCAATACACATTAATATTTATCAATATTATGCATATTACAAAAATTACTTTGTCGTGTGGTGAGCAACTGATCATCGTCGTTTGGGTATGGTATGATGTTGTCCTCATCATCCTCTTTGTTAAACTTAAACCCCAAGCCTGTCTGACTTTCTTTCTCTCTCCTTTCCACTGATCCCCAGACCAAAGTCCTCCTCAAAGCTCACAAGCAAAGAATTGCCTCAACTCTGTAGGAGCCACCAACCTCAAACCAACGAACAAAATTAAAGTAAAAACGTCGGATTGGGGTCTTGAGCTTACGGAAAATCTTGAAAATCATAAACATAACACTAAACTTTTATGCGTGAAAAATGTCAGGATGGGCCTGGGACCATCCTGGTCTCTTCATGGCTCCGCCTCTATCTAGAATCATGAGTGGAGCCACTAAGGGACCATAACAGCGTTATCAATCCAAACTTTTGTCTATTTTAGGCCATACCTCATTTTTCTCTTCATCCCTCATGTTGCGGTTATATGCACTTCCCCTCCTTATTCTATCAACGTTTCTTTAGTTTTAACTTATATTTAAAGTATTTCTTGCTTAGTCTTTACCTCATATTCGGGTTTCTCAATTTGTACAATATTTTTATTTCTCTATTGAATTTAGGGTCTTTCTTTTTTATACATAATACTCCAATCTCTCATATTTTGAATTCAAATTATCTATACACGTGAGATCCCCCCAATCTAACATAAAATCCCTGTCTAGAATCCTGATGGGTTTGTTCTTCCCAGTTCCCACCCTTTCAAATTCTCGATAGCAGACACCATTGTTGTGGATATTCACCAATACACATTAATATTTATCAATGCGTATATTAGGGGAAGAAACAGACTTGACCCCTATTATGTTTTCGTCCTTGCTCACAGGTGTAGAGGGACATAAGTTATAATTTCTTGACATAAAAATGAGAAGAAAGACGAAATACACACTTTATAGGCCAGATACAAATCTTAATCATAGATAAAATTGACAAAAATGAAGGTACACTCGAGATTTTATTTTTTCATTCAACTTTTGTAACTAGTTTTATTTATATTTACGTTTTTTTTTTTAAAAAAAAAAACCTCCCATATCAAGAAATTAATATTAGGTACCCTTAGAATTAAGTAGATTAATTGGACAACAATACCATTGGGTCGCTATACTTATTTAAAGATGGCAGTAAACTAATCTAATTACTGGTGACATGCATATATTAACCAGGATTGGCATACATGGACTGGTTAATTTGGTGGTCCATATATATAATATCAATGCTTTTTCATTTCTAATTATTTCCCCCTACATCCGTGTATATATACTTGTATATATATATATACACAATATATATATATATGTATGTATGATATATATACATATATATTCAACTATCCTTCCCACAAGCAATGGTAAGTTATTTCATTGTGCTGCAATTGTGGATAATCTCCAATACTAGAACCAAAATCAACCATCCCCACCATGTCATCATCTCTGAACCAAGCTCCCATTTCATATGATGGGTCAGTCTCCACCATGTCTACATCTTCCCACTTTGAATCAGGGATGCAGATTTCAATCCCATGCTGCTCCAATGAAATCTGCCCATCTGTCGTCACATTATTGGCCTCATCAGCACTCACTGGTGATTGCACTACAAACCCTAGTTTGTCATTATTCTCCTCCTCCTTCTCCAACTCTTCAAGCAAATCCCAGAGAAGGGCTCCATCAACTTCTGTGACCTCAAAATCTTCGAACTCATCTGTCCCAAGAACAAACTGCTTGCCTTCTGAAATAGCAGAGGCCATATATATATAATATAAAAAGGGAGCTGAAGAAAAATGGACAAATTGAAGAACAATAGAAAAAAGCATGAGAAGAGGAGCTTCAAAAACTTGGTGCAACTTAGAATACAATATTGTTGATTTATATAATGATAAGGTAGGCTCCAAGTCGGCACATATTTTTTGCATTGTCACGGGCATAGATTACTGGCATATCATGGGCCATGATCTTGACAATAACATGTAACTAATATTGGGGACCTATAAAGACTGAAAAAGGCTAAATAATAACTAGGGTTTTGGAAAAATTCTACTAAAAAACATAACGTATGGCGACACGTATGTCTCCTAATTAATCCTGGTATTAAAATTATACATAAGGCGCCAAACACCGAATTCTTATTAAAAGTACTGTTCGGTGTGTAATACGGCAAGCCAAACGAGGCCATAGATTTAGGGGTGGGCGTGGTGCGGTTTCGAGTGAAACCGCAACTTTTTGCGGTGTGGTTCGGTGCGGTTTTGAAGCCAAAACCGAAATGAAACTAAACCATTTGGTTCGGTTCGGTGCGGTTTCAAACTGTTTCGGTTTGGTTTTTGAGAAAAAAATGTACAATTTAAAATACACACCTATTCATGCATAAGACCGTCAAACCTGCATGACATCACTACCCCTAATAGACCACTCTCCTCAGATTTAGTTTATAATTCTTGGGTGGTACGTTCTAGCCATTTGGACTTAGTTGGTGATCTTATGACAATTCTTACCATATATATACTTGTTCGTTTTTATTTTATAATTCTGTTTTGGGTGTTATATGTTTAGGTTGAGCACCCTTCTGCATTGGACTCATTTGATCAGATGATGAAAGCAGCAAAAGGGAAGAGGATGGTAGTTTTCCTAGACTACGATGGGACCCTTTCACCAATTGTTGATGATCCTGACCGTGCCTTCATGTCTGATGAGGTCAATCTTTAATCTTCTTGATAACAACATTCCTGTTTTTACGTATGACTCAATCCACCCTAATTATATTGACTATGTTCCATATGCCAACAGATACGTGTTGCAGTATAGGAAGTTGCCAAGTATTTTCCAACAACAGTGAGGTTGCAGAGATGCAAGCAGCCAAGTCGCAAACAGAGATGCAAGCAATCGACTGTGGAAGAGATGAAAATGAGTTTTGAGAGAGATGAAGATGAGTTTTAAGAAAGAGAGACAGACAGATGCAAGCAGTGAGTTTAGGGCATTGATGTCGAATAGTGGTGCAAAATTGGATGACTAGTCTAGTTGAACTAATTAAAACATAACATTCAATATATGGTGCGGTTTTAAAAACCCAAAACCGAAACCAAACCGTTTTCTTTTCCACGGTTCGGTTTTGAAACCGCAACCATTTCAAAACCGCAAAACCAAACCGTTCGGTGCGGTCCGATTCGATTCGTTTTTCAATTTCGGTTTTCGGTTCCATGTGCCCACCCCTACATAGATTGCACAATAAACTGTATCTTTTGACAGAAACCAATCTTGTAAGCCTAAAAGGAAAAAAAAAGCTAAAATTGGTGTGTCACTCATGCACTTTTACCAAATTCAGATGAAGCAAAGACTTGGCTTTTTTGGTCTCACTAAAATCTTGTTCATACCGTTTGGTACGCAGACGGGACGAAACGGGACAGGACGGGACGGGACGGAACAGGATGGAACGGATGATGTAAATATTGAAAAAGATAAGGAGAAATTTTGTCATAAAATATTATAAATTTGTGTTCCACGGATATGGAACGGGTCGTTCTAGGGGGAAGAGGTGGAATG